TTTACAGTTCAGGTTTTTACAGTTCACAATCTTGGGGTTCAAATGGGATCAAATATCCTGCAACAAGCCCCTTCAGCACTTAAAGAGTTGCCATTGAAATCCTGAATATGTATCTATGGTATGGTGTACATACTTTAATTCCCCAAACTCTGCAAAATGAAATGGATATTTGCCAAATTTCATTCTTTGTGGGTACCTTTTGGGCTACTTCCTGCAGGTAACGGAGTTTGGTTATACAAAGAGCAGGTAGGATATTTTTTTATAACTTCCTTGGTTTGTTGCTAAACGATAGAAAAAATCTTTCTTCAAACCTTTGTTGTTAACATGGTGGATTTTTTTGATGAAATTCTGAGGCGTCCAGCACATTTCCTTAACAGCTGATCAATTTCATCATTACCTTGTGCTTGAGGGCCTGGGAGACCCGTATGGGATCTGATATGTGTTATGTGCAATGGATGATTTCTATTTCTGATTACTTGTTGTGGTTGAATAAGTAGCAGAGTAAATTCTGAATCATCCAGAATAAGCTCAGTGGTCTCAATATGTAAAGCAAATATTTCTACATATTGAGAGTCAGTTACTATATTAAGAGACTCAGGAAAATTTAATAATACTCTAAGAATGGCATACAGCTCTGATTTTTGAACTGAATCATAAGGGCTCTGAGCCACTTTACTTATTTTTCCTGACTTATAACCTGCCTTTCCTGATTTATTTGCATTAGTATAGATTGTTGGGGCTCCAGAAATTGATATCCATTTTACTATACAAGGGAGAATCCAATTAATTCTTTTTATAAACTGAAGTCTCCTGCTTTTTGGGATATTTGTTGTAAATCTCTCCCCAAAAACTACTGCATGCTCTTTGCCAATGTTCATTTTTCTGCCCATAATGAGGCAATTTCAGCATAGTAAAGGGTACCACAATTTCTTCTGGATCTATTTCTGCTAATTGACGAAGTCTCATTTTTACTTTCAGAATCAATTCAGAAACCTTGCTTACATAGGTCTTTAATTTTTTTACTTTGTGTGCTAAAAATATTCTAAGATATTATTTTCTCTCTGCATAGAATTTCCATGGGAGAATGAGTAAAAGGTAAAATAAAATACAATCCAGCTTTGGATCAAAGCGATCCACATGTGCGTCCTGTAGTTTCTTTTCTACCAGAGCCAATTCTCTCTTAGCCTCAGCTGATAATTTTTTTGGACTGTTTAAGTCCTTATCACCTTGTCAGGTTTGAAATAAATTACTTAGCTCTTGAGTAATTAATCCAATTGTGGGCCTTAGCTAGTTAATATCTCCCACCAATTTTTGAAAAATCATTAAGAGTTTGTAATAGATCTCTCCTGACTTGTACTTTCTGTGGTTGAACTTTTCTGTAAATGTCTTATATCCTGGATAATTGATAAAATCTCCTCTTTGTATTTTTTTCAGGAGCAATTTGTAATCCCCAGCAAGTCAAATTTTTCTTCTTCAAACATTTTTTCTAAGGCATCTGTGTCTGAATCAGTCAGGAAGATATCATCCATATATAATGATAAATTATAGATTGAGGAAACTTTTTTTTAAATTATTTCTACTCAATGTTGTACAAAATATCGATACAAGGAAGGACTGTTTAACATTCCATACACTCCACCCATCTTGCACTGTGTTTTACCTGAGATAAACTGTCAATTGCTAGTAAAACTTTCCAGTGATATCACTTTATTGGACAGCTGTTAAGTTGGCACTGAAAACATAAACCTTACCCTATCATTATGCACTGGATTGTGAAAAAGCAGTCTTTTAAATCCATCACTATCAAAGGCCATGACTTAGGTAATAAAGAAGGAAATGGGGTTCCAGACTGTAAGAAGCCCATTGGCTGAATCATCTTATTTTTGGCTCTTAAATCTGTTAACATCTTCCATTTTCCTGATTTCTTTTTAAGATTTATTTATTTATTATTTATATAGCATTCTGCCTGTATGTGTGCCTGCTCACCAGAAGAGGGCACCAGATCTCACTATCGATGGCGATGAGCCTCCATGTTGTGGTTGGGAATTGAACTAAGGACCTTTGGAAGAACAGCCAGTGTTCTTAACCTCTGAGCCATCTCTCCAGCCCGCTCCTGATTTCTTTTTCATATCAAACACAGGGGGATTCCATGGTATATTATTCAATGTGTTGAGCATTTAGCTGCTCCTGTACCTGCTGTTCTAGTACCTGTAACTTTTCTTTTGTCAAAGGCCATTGTTCTACCTACACAGGTTTGTCAGTTAGCTATTTTATTTATTTACTTACATACTTATTTTTTGTTTTTGAGACAGGGTTTCTCTGTAAAGCCTTGGTTGTCTTGGAGCTGTAGATCAGACTCATGGAGATCTGCCTGCCTCTGCCTCCCCAGTGCTGGGATTAAAGGCGTACACCACCACCACCTGGCTATCAGCCATTTTAAAGGTAAGGCAGTTGGTATCTTTGAAAGACCAATACCTGTCATGGACAATCTGGACAGTCT